TTAAATTCCTCCATTTAGCCCAGGCGCTATCGCAGGAACGTGCAAATGCAGTGGCGCAGGTCCGGACTCCGTGGGCTGCTTGGGGGTGCATCCCACTTAGTGACAGTTTTATATGGAATATCCCCACTGATATATGGGATTATATGGCTTATATATATATATATATGGATTATACACCACTTGCTAAGTGGGATGCACATCCAAGTGAAGAATTCATGATTGAACCCTCTAAGATAGTTGATCTAAGTTACAAAAAACGGGGATTGATGACGTATAATTGATGAATGGGGATCTCATGGTGATATATACTGCAAAATGGTGTGATTTCACCATCAACAATAGCGATCTGAGCATCAAACGAAGCGTTTTGTGGGGATATCATGGGCATACAATGGGATACACAATGATGAAGTGGTGATATCATGCATGGCATTGGGATACTGCACATACCCTTCACCCTTACAATGGGATACTACATCCAATGCAATCTGAGAAGGGTGAAGTGGTTGATACCCATGGCTTTGGTGCTCGGGAACAGCCAGGCCAAAGCCCTGGCTGAAGCGCACGTGCAGCTGAAGCGGATGCAGGTGGTTGCCACATGTGAGAGTTGATGGAGACCACCATGGTAGGAGGTGGAAACAAATGTTAAACATGGGCAAACATATTTTTGATGTCCTTTGGTGCGCAGATCCAACATTTTGGAAGGGATTTTGAAGCCAAGGAGCAACCCTACGAAGAACGCTGGTTAAAATCATTTTTGTTTGGTTTCTTAATTCCAATATATCACACATTGATGATTCGATCACACTATTGGTTTTATATGCCCATGAAGGGGCAGGCAATGACTAGGATAGATGATGATCTTCCCAGCACCTAAGGCAACCAAAAGTGGTTCATTTTTTGCCTCATCTGTAAGAACAGGGTTTGTCTCAAAATCGAGTACTCCAAAATTCTATGGTTTCTCATTGTTTTTCATCATTTTCTCCATTCAAAGCACCGTTTTGGGGGTTTATCGGTATATCCTATTTTCACAGCCAACTATCAGTGGGGCTATACTGTATACCACCAAAAACAACTGGTGAAAAAGATGGGGAGGGAAGCCTTTTTAGGTCTCACTATGGCCATTTTCATAGGGAAAACTGTTCTTTTAGATGTGGTTAGCCAATGGATTTGGAGAATTTTCAGGCAACCATTGGCTAACCACATCTAAAAAAACAGTTTTCCCTATGAAAATGGTGTTTTCCCTATAATTACATGGAACTTGGCCCAAAATTGAAGTCACAATTGATTCTTTTCGTGGGCGTGTCATCACAAGTGAATGGGAGTCGTACAATCAATCCCAGAGGGGATAAGCCACCGAGATAACCCCAGATGTCGGGTTGATGTTTTGCAATCCAATCCATTTTGGCACAGTTCAACCCAACATTTGGTTGATCTCGAATCTTTGCCAAAATCAAGCCACAAAAAAATCAACCACATTATATCAAAACTCAATCTTGGTGGAGAAATCTATATACCAAATCCAAAATGCAGGTCTACTCCAAAATCATTTCCGCAAATGCCTAATTCCAGATGCCCGGCTGGATGTGAATTCAGATAGATATGGAACATTTAATGTGGGAAACCCAATCATAAACCTACCATTTGGGGATGGTTTATACAACCCATGAAATGATTATATAATTTGGTGATGTCTTACTACATTGGGTTTGATAAATTACATACCCACAAATAATGTTTATTACATACTCTGTGTGATTCTCCACAATATATGATGGGGTTCACCATGATATTGTGCCAAGCATTTGTGGCAGCCAGGGTGAATCCCACATCTATTCCACCTGTCAGGATCGGCCTCAAGATGGAACCATCGTGCGAGCCCAACAGGACGGGACCTGTGGTTCTCTTTTTTTTGAGGTTTGAAACGGGTCGTTATAGAAACAAACATTGAGATTTCAGGACCAACAAATTCGAGGTATTCATGACGAAAATACAGGTAAACCTGGGTTTGATATTTTTTTTTCTTGAATGGGCGGCTGTGTCTGCAGGGTATCTAAGATTGGCCATGTATTGCAATAGGAATTTGCGCAATTCTAGCATCTCTCTCTCTCTCTCTACTCTACTCTACTCTAGGATCGATAGAGACACCCCTATAAACCAAACTGACTGGAAAATCCATGGGTCTTCATCTTGAAGGATCTTGAACCCGGTGATATGATTGACTTGGTTCGTGTGGCTGGCAATATTTCACTTGGAATGTGATGTCTTGTGGTGTTAGCGGTGTTGGCCATTCTTGTTGAACACCCCTTTTCTTTGCATTCTTGGTGGTATCGAACATTTTTCTTTACTGTTTATGTTTTGCATCCAACACTTGGTATGACAACATTATTTTTGCTGGTTACCCTCCCTCCAATTATCATGGATCCTGTAAAACAGAGGGGGGGTTGAGGACTACTTTCCCCTCGTAGTGGGCGGTTTGCGCGGTCTTTGTGATGGGAAAATCTGCACACCATGCTTTTTAGCCACACCATGCTTGTGATGCGTGTATCCCCTCTGCAATTGGTAGTCTCCCGTATATACATACATGCATGCATGCGTACGTACAATTGCGCATACAAGAATACAGGCCATGCGGGCATGTAGACATTCGCTGTATGGGTTTTGCTGTCGCAAGAATGAATATACAATATATATGTATATACCTATAATAAAAAATGCCATTGAACACTTATTCACACCTTTATTTATACAACATGATTTTTTTACATATATTTTTAGAAATCATATGTATATCAATAAATATTTATACAAATTGACAAAGGTGTAAAAGGAAATTGTATTTGCATCAGTGTACGCATACAAGCATGCACACATGTATACACACCATGCACACATATAAACGTACACATTTGTTTCATATACAGGCAGACATGTATATATATATATATATATAAATATGCATGTTGACTTAAAAAAATCCGTAGATATACATACGCATCTGTACATGTGAGAACATTCGCAGTTCATGGCGCCTGAGTACTACCGTCTCGAAGATATCCGGCATCAGCACGCCCCAATTCAGTATACTGTCAGACTGAAATTCCTCTGCGCAGGTGGTGCACTGTGGACAGGATGGGGATTGACATTCCAAGAGTGTAACGCTTCTGCGTGCAGGGCTTGGATTTAGCTGTTTGGTCCTGGTGTTGCTGCCCAGGGCGCGGCTGCAGAGCAGGGCCTGGAGTACCAGCAGAAGCTGCAGGCAGGATCGGTGGCTGCGCGATCCAAAAACGCACGTCTCTCAAGACAGAGTGCTGGCGGATTAGGGAATCGTTGCCACTTTCGCTCCTCAAAGACTTTCATATTCTTTCATGAACATGAAACTCTAGGTGGTCAAAACCACGGCTAATTATCAGCCAGTTTGCTCCAATGAAGCCAGTGAATCAGGAATTGGACGAGAAACTGGTGGAGCTGAGCCCCACCCGGCTTCGAGCCAGGCAGGGTCGGGCAAAGGTGTGCCAACTGGCCCACTCCAGTGCCCAGGTGGACGCCAAAAAAAATCCTGTTCAGAATCGTTCAGGGAACCTTCACCAAACACAGCGTTGGGCGAAACAATTGCACAGGATAGGGGACAGACAGCTTGCGGCCCAACCAGATCTACATGTCTGTGCCGCGCATGTTTGTTTTTAATCGCAAAGCCAAGGCCGCATGGTCATTTGTCTTTTCAGTACTGTGAGTCATTTGAGAGCTTTAGTTTCAACCGTCTCTGACATGATCCAACGCAACATTTTCCAATATTCAGTCTTTTAGGATGGGAAACGGTTCTTTACATTATCAACTTTCCGTTTTTGAAAAACCTTGGTTATTTCTTGCAATGCGCGAGCAAAATCCCAGCAACCAACCATGATTGGGGGGTGAAATTCACGTCCATCCCATTAAAATGTATGCGGTGGTGTTGCGATCATTGTGTTGTTTTTTCATGTTTTTTCCACCATCATATCCTATAAACATCTGAACATTTCCATTTTTTTGGGTTTACCTCATCTCAAGATTTTCATCCGGACGCCCAGAAAAGCGATGCTCGAGGCAAAGTGGGAGTGGCAGTCGCAGCGGCGCAGTGGTCCGCGTTGGGCCCTCAGCGCCACAGACATGGGAATCGATGCGTTTGCCATTGTGGGTATGTCTGAAAATGGGGTATACTGCAACTGATCCATGTCAGGTTCGCCACTACGACTTCATGTTCGACCACTGGCCCTTGTCTGCAATGCTTGGCTCAGGAGGGGCCCCTTTTCTTTGATAGATTAGACCCAGCCTCGACCTATGGGCTGCTGACTTTGGACTCTGCGTCCAACCGGTGAAAACAGAGCTGAGCGCTCTTCTACATTTGGTGTTTGAGTTGAGCCCGATACGTCACCACTGTGTGCCTGCTGCATTGGCAGCGGAGCACCTACGCTCCGGGACCTTAGCTACCTGCTGCGACCCGACCTAGCCTTTGTGATCTTGGCCGGTGTCTTGCAGCGGTGGACCTTTTGCCGAACGGCAACCCTGGATTCTTTTTGCACGAGCTTTCATTTTCATTTTAGCACTTTTTCCTTGAGTTTGACTTCGTGAAGGCGAAGTGGAGACTGACTTGATCCTGACGATCAACCCTTTTTGCCTCAAGCCTGCATTTTGCAGCAATGGCGACTCGCAGTGATGAGAGTGTTCCTTCATGGGATGGACAGGCGAAAAATTGGCGTAGATACACAAAAGAGGTTGCATGGTTTGTTGCATCGACCCCCACCAAAAAACGTAGATATGTGGCCTCCAAATTGATTTCAAGACTATCTGGTCCTGCTCGTCTTCTAGCTATGTCATGGTCAAGAACAGAATTTGATTCTCCGGACGGTACCCTGAATCTTTTGAAGAAGTTAGCTGGTTCTCCACTGGTTCGAAAGACATTATCAAATACAGCTGCAATTCTTCAACAATACCTGGGATTTAGGCGACAGCCTGGTGAGTCAATGGCAAATTTCTTGGTCCGTGAAACCCTGGGATATGAAGAGTTTTCTGAAGCTCGTATTCGGCTATGGGAAGAACAGACCGGTATTGATCCTGCTGAAAGAAATTTTGGTTTGCCACCTATTTCTGAATGGGATTGGTGGGATGATGACTATGAGTATGGCTATATGGGGGGCATGGATGTCACTACTGGTGATGCGGAACATCAGCATGATCCTGCGGCTACTGCGGCAGCTGCATCCTCTCCTGAGCAAGGCGCTGAACCTCCTGTAAGTGCGGCTCCAGGCTCCTCACCGAGTCATCGAGTTGGTGCGGCCTCTGAGCATTCTGCGCCAGGACCTGTAAGTGATCCGGGAAAGCCCAAAATACCCCAAGATGTTTCAGAAGTTTCTTTGGCAGACTCCTTCATCATGGGTGTTCTACGTGGTTGGCGTTTGTTGAAGGCTGCAAGCCTCACCCCAGAAGAAACTAGAGACATTTTATCCACTACTCAAAACAAATTGGACTTCGAAGCCATCAGCCAAGCCTTGTCTGCACTTTGGGACGAACAGTTGCTTGGCCACCGATATTCACAACATGCTGGACGTCATGGAAGTTCTAACAATGCTCTATGGCATGAATGGCATGATGATGGATGGGATGATGGCTATGAGATTAACTATGATGAAATGTGGACCTGGGGAAACGATGATGGTTGGTGGAATGATGGTCAATATCATGATGAATGGCATGAACATGAATGGCCCGACGAAACCTCCTCTGCCAAGGAAGTTCAGACTACCTTGTCACCCGACGAGGAAGAGCGACTTCAAGATGCTCTTCAAGCTGAACAGGTTGCTGAGCAGTTAGCTGCCGAAGCAAGGCGCACTTGGCAAGAGGCCCAGAAAACAACCCAACAACTGAAACGTGATCGAGGTTTTGGACATGTCAACACTGTCAACAATGGTCGTTGTTTCAATTGTGGTGGTAACCATTTGGTTAGGGATTGTCCTGATAGACGTCATGGGAACTACCCCAAGGGCAAGTTTTCTGGGAAGGGCAAGGGCATGTTTTGGAGCTCGAAGGGCAAGAGTCCTTACCATTCGAAAGATGGCAATGGCAAGGGCTTTAACAAGAACCCCGTGAATGCCTACGCACTCTATGGCATGGAACTGGCCTCAACGACGAAGGCATCAACCAGCACTGGCTCTAGCTCTTTGGCTTCCCAAGCTCATGGCATGCTGGACTGCGGAGCAACTGCCTCTGCAGCACCTGAAGTTTCTGCACAGGAGCTGGTGATAGCTGTTTTGTCTCACGATCGACAGGCGACTGTGAACATCTTCTCAGCGCAGCGGCCATACTTTCGCTTCGGCAATGGGAAGTGGGGCAGAGCTAGGTACAAACTGGAAATTTGTTCGGATGTTTCTGGTCAAAAGAAAACGTTTTCATTGTATGCACTTCCAAATCCAATTGAGTTTTACCAGCCCAACTTTGACAAGTCACAGCTCGTTCCTATTTTGATTGGCATGGATCATCTTGGTGCACATGGTTGTCAAATGTTGGTTGATTTTGGATCTGGTTTAGCAATGGATGGCGTTGATGATAATCCTGAAGTATATCAACTACCAGTCAATCCGAAGAAACACTATATGTACGATATTTTATACTATCTCACACGTGGTCATACCAGAGCAGAAGGGCATGCACAAGTGAATGTTGTTACTGGAGCTGATCCACTTTTTGCACAACCTGTTCTGCAGTTTCGTCCTCTTGACTTTTATACCACTCAGCAGTCATGTTCCTCTTCCTCTACTACATCTTCTCCTCTCAAGCATGATCGTGAAGAACTGTTGCGAAAACTTTTTCGATGTGGTCGCAACATGCATGCTGGAAAAGATCACCGCGGAGGAGAAGCTGAACAACAAAGTTCAGTACCTGCTGGAAAAGCCCAACGTCGAGAACTCCTTGAAGGTTCCAAAGTCCAAGGCAGCTTCAAAGAATGTGGAGAAGAAGATGGTTGTCACCATGGGCTACATGGACCAGAGCTCACCGATGACAAGTCCTTCCGACAGCAGCTGGGATCCGATTCTGGATTCACCAGATCGTCGCAACTTGGAGGACTTCCTGACCGAACAGGAAAGGATCGACTTGCGCAACCTGGTGCTTGCAAGAAAGGGGATGACACCACCCGACGAAGTCATCCTCACCGAAGAAAGCCAATGACTTCTTCGAGCCTACCTTTGACCACTACGATGGGCTCCAAGGTCATGAAGATGGTGACGATGATGACGGCAACTATGAGTCACCTCGCCTTGCAGATTGCCATGGATGGACGTGAATGTCTATGGGAGATTGCATGTGCTGACAACAGTTGGCTGACTCAAGCGGCTCTCAACCATGGTCTACCTGCCAGAAGGATCAACTATAAGCAAGGTTTTGACCTCTACAAGAAGTCTGCATGGATGGAGATGGAACGCCTGCGGAAGATCAAGCGTCCCAAGAAACTTTGGCTCTCACTACCGTGCACTCATTGGTGTCAATGGACCAATGTCAACTACAACACTGATGAGCGCAAGGCGGTCCTCGAAGATCTTCGTCGACGAGACCGTCGAATGATGCACTATGCCAAGGACTTCATCCTCAATGCTGTTGATGACGACCCAGACATTGATGTGTACTGGGAGTGGACTTTTCCATGTTCTGGATGGTCTCAGCCTCCTATGGTCTCGCTGCAGCATGGACTTTTGCAACGTGGCCAATCATGGGAGCGCTGCAGAATCGATGGATGCAACTATGGGATGCGAAACTCTGATGATTCAGCGTTTATCCACAAGCGCTGGGAGATTCGCACCAATGATGAGCTCTTCCATCGCAACTTCAAGTGCAAGGTTTGCCCTCGAAATCATCAACATGCTTTCATACAGGGGATTGAAACAGCTCGCTCTGCATACTATCCAGTGCGGATGGTGGAAGCAATTGTGCGGCATTGGAAGAACCAACTTGCTCCTCAACGTCATGTACAAGCTTTGACTTCTCCTGACGCTGTGGTGAACTCCAAGCATGCAGAGTGTGATGTGAAGTGGACTCAACGTCTTCAAGCTCTACCTGTTGAAGAAGTTCTTCCTCCTGTACCTGATGATGGTGATTTGTCTGACGGCTATGAACCTTCTATACTTGAAGCTCCTCAACATGGTGATGATATCAGTGAACAAGAACGAAAAGAATGGCATGTCAAACTGCAGCACTACCATCGTGCAGCAGGACATCCATCAAATCGGAACTTGATCCACCTTTTCCGAGATGCTGGACTTCCCAAATGGAAGATTGAAATGGCTCGCGATTTTCGATGTGATGCTTGTGATCGACTTCTACAAGGCAGCAAAAGCTCAGGTGAAGTACCAAGGGCGTCAACACACCCTTTGTGCAAGGCATGGGAAATCGTTGGAGCTGATTCCAGCGAATGGCATGTTCCCGACCAGAAGATCAAGATCAAATTCATTTTGCTCATTGACTTTGCCACCAAACTACGTGCGGTGCATGTGGTGAAATCGTATGGACTTACGCAAATGTTGTCCGAAAGTTCTGAAGATGTCATCAAGGCGATTGCTGAAAAGTGGCTGGCCGATAAGCCGAAACCCCGACTTATTGTGCCTGACAACTCCTCTGTCTTCAGGGCCACCGACGTGAACGAGTTCCTCACCAATGTGGGCATCCAACTTAGCCTGCCGGCTGAGAAGGAATCATGGGCTCATGGACTTGTTGAATCAGCAATCAAAGATGTGAAGATGACGGCTTCTGCAATTCAACTTGGACAACCAACTCTTCCTCCTGGAGTTTCTCTTCAACTTGCGTGTGCGGCTCTCAACAGTACTGAGTATACCAAGGGCTATTCCTCTTTTCAGTGGTGCTATGGCAAGGACTACACCATAACCGATGAAGAGATCAGAACCTTTGACTCCTTGCCGGACACCACCAAGCACTTTGAGTATGAGGCCCTGGTTCGAGCTCGACAAGGTGCTGAAGAAGTTGCACGTCGTACCCGAGCTCTACGTGTGATGTCAAAGCTCAAGAACTCCAGCGTGAAACAGCCTTTGCGCACTTTCGAACCTATGGACTTAGTCATGGTTTGGCGCAAACAATGGCCTGCACACCTACTTGCTCCTGGCCGACGTGGTGGTTTTCAACGAAGTATCAAGCCTCACTGGATTGGCCCAGGACGTGTTGTTTTCCATGAAGTTCTTCATCATCAAGAAGAAGGCGATGAGAGAAGACACATCTTATGGGTGTTGGTGGGATCGCAGCTGTTGCGCTGCAGTGCTCATTCGGTGAGACCCGTCACCGACACCGAGCGTGTCACTTTTGAAGTGTGTGACAAACAAGACGTCACAAAATGGAAATCCTTAGCTGATGTCCTACCTCAGCGCGAATACCTTGACATCACTGATCAGGTTCCTGGTGAAGATGAATGTGAGCATCCAGACCTACCTGATCGACCTGATGAATCAACGGCTGTGCCTGCAGCTGTTGCCAAGAAGGCCAAGAAGGTTTTCCAGAAAGGCGTCACTTTTTCTGATCCTGCACTTCAACCACGTTCCAAGATCGTTGGCAAGAAATCCTTGACTCCAGATGACTGGAAGCCCAAAGCAGGTGATGATGATGTTGAACTATTACCTGAACCTGGCAGTGCTTCTCAACCTGCAGCACTGGAGCCTGCGGCTTCTGACTCTCCTGACCTTGAAGAGTTGTTGGAGCGCGATGTCAACGACTATGATGTTTCTCCTCAACCTCTACCAGACCCGAAGAAGCAAAAGATCAACGATGACAAAGACATGAGAACCCTGCTGAGGGAACAACACTCCTCTCAGTATGACCTCAAATGGGTGGAGGAACTACACCAGCCAGATGATGGACTTTTGGACTTTTACCATCTGGTTGTTGACAATGACTTGGATTGCCTCTCCATGCAGTTTGACTTGGACTTTGTGTCAAACCGGCAGTTCAAGAATTTCCTCAGAAGCCCCACTGCGTATCTGGTCAAAAAGATGCGTGACTCTGAAGTGGTTCTCAGCAAATTGTCTCCTCAACATCGTGAACTTTTTGCACGTGCCAAGGGGAAAGAAATTGACAGCTTCCTCAAGAATGAAGCAGTGAAAGCCTGCCACCGAAATGAAGAAGTTCGAGAAGCCATGGGCAGTGGACGCATTGTCCGCGCTCGTTGGGTGTTAACCTGGAAACTTGTGCCTCCTGAAGATCAAGATGAAGCGCGACAAGATGCCTCAACGAATCCTTCCACAACACATACTTCAGATGGTCTCAAGAAGGCGAAGGCACGAATTGTGCTACTAGGTTTTGAACATCCTGAGATTGGCAATGTGGACTACAAAACGTCCTCACCTGTGCAGTCTATGTTGGCTCGCAACTTGCTCTACCAGGCCACTTGTCAACACTCGTGGCAACTTGAAGGTTTGGATTTAGCAACTGCTTTTCTCCAGACGGCTCCTACGTCCGCTGATGCCAACTTGTGGACTTATGGTGTAGCTGAACTTCGCACAGCACTTGGGTTGGACAGCAATGGCATCATGAAAGTCATGCGTAACATCTACGGTAGCACTACTGCTCCCCGTGGACTATGGCTCGACCTGCACAAGACCCTCACTGGACTTGGCGGATATCCTGCCTTGGGTGAAAGATGTCTCTGGGTTTGGTATGATGAAGACCCTGAGACCAAGCAACCCTTCACCATTGGCATGATGGGCGGCCATGTGGATGACTTTCACCGAACTGGTGACTCAAACAATGCAAAGTGGAACGAAGTTTGCAGAAAAATAGATGCAGCGTACCGATGGGGAACAACCAAACACTCTGCATATCGTCATGCTGACACTGACATTCAGGTGAAGCGCGACAACGATGGCGACCTTGTCATCACCGTCAACCAGCAGTACTATGTGGACTCCCTGCCGGACCTTGGCATCTCTGCAGATAGATTACGACAAGAAGATGCACGAATGACCTCTCATGAGATTGCAGCTTGCCGTGGTGCTCTTGGCGCACTACAATGGCTAGCAATACAAACTCAGCCACAACTTTGTGCTCGTTGTAATCTCCTCCTCACTGAAGTCATTAAGTTTGGGAAGATGAGTTATGCCATGGAAATTCAACGTATGATTGGCGAAATTCGCCGTGAATCCTATGAGCTCAAGTTCTTCAAGCACAAAACTGCGAAGACCTGGCGCGATGTTTGCTTCATAACAATGGCTGACCAAGCACATGCGAATCGAGACAAAGGTGATTCAACTGGTGGGATCATCACTTTGATGAGTGGTCCTGAAGCTCTTAAAGGAGAAGTTTGTCCTATGTCTCTTTTGGCTTGGCGAACCTGGAAGCTTCGTCGCAAAGCTCTTGGATCAAATGACGCAGAAGTTCAAGCAGTACTTGAAGGTGAAGATTGGAATTTCCGCGCCCGACTTCTTTGGTGCGAAATTCATGGTGCTGGACTTTCTCGTCCTCGCGATGCCAACAAAGTGGAATTCTCAGAAGAGATGGTGAAACAAGTAGAAGGACTTCTTTGCACTGACAGCAAAGGTGGTTTCGATGCAGTGCTCTACAATGAGAGTCCTCTCCTTGGCCTGAGCAACACTCGCTCTGCTCTCCAAGCTCTTCAACTTCGAGAATATCTTCAGCGTGCTGGCTCCAAACTACGTTGGGTGGCCAGTGACTATGACCTGGGCGATAGTCTGACAAAGAAGCGTCCAGACTGTCGTGTGGGCCTCCAGAAGTTCCTCAAAACATGGCTGTGGGCTGTGAAATATGATCCACAGTTCATTGCCTCAAAGAAGAACAAAAAGGAAGGAAAGACAGCGATCAATCAGATCGACGATTACCTGAGTGGCAAACCTGATCTTTCTTTCTATGCTGGTGCAACTGATCCATGTCAGGTTCGCCACTACGACTTCATGTTCGACCACTGGCCCTTGTCTGCAATGCTTGGCTCAGGAGGGGCCCCTTTTCTTTGATAGATTAGACCCAGCCTCGACCTATGGGCTGCTGACTTTGGACTCTGCGTCCAACCGGTGAAAACAGAGCTGAGCGCTCTTCTACATTTGGTGTTTGAGTTGAGCCCGATACGTCACCACTGTGTGCCTGCTGCATATACCCCCAATTATAGCCATTTAGTAGGGATAATGATCATTAACCATTGGGTGTAGGGGTACACTATTTTCAGACAAACCCTTGTTGGTTGATGGATTCGTTCTTTCATGGAAATTCGCACTCTGGTAGTCTAACAGTGGCAAATTTCCATGTTGAGAAACCGTAAAGCATCGAACCAACTAGCCACGTTCCATAGCGGACCGTAAAATGATCAAAAGGTTTGACAGAGGGTTTTGAACATTGGGTTATAATGGACTCTGGGGGTATGCCATGGATAGTTGGGATATTTTTATTTGGATATTTGGGGTATGATGGATACTCTGGATGTAATGAGATGGTCAAAATATAAGGCCCAGAAAACCGCAGTCCTAAACTAATGAGGTTTGAGTCTTCACAGGTACCCCACTTTTGTGGGTTTGGGATGGTTTGGGTGTGTCTGAGAATGGGGATGCATCCCTAAATGACAACTCACCAGGGGATGGACTGAGGTTTTCATGGAGTGTTTTGAAAATCCAAGGGGCCAAACCTCAGTTGCAAGGTTGTTTAACTTGTCTTTTTGGGTTTTAATCTCCATGTCTCAGCCTCCAAAGTTACTATCAAACAATGTCTCCACACTCATGGGCCCTTATGAACGATTTTCCCAATAATGGATTTACTAAGGTATAGAACTTGGGTTGTCAACCACCACTACCCCCTTATTGGTGAGACATCTGGATTTTTGCGGGTGAAACCATAATGTTTTACACATGGTTTTAAACATCTCGCCTTCTGTCTCTTCTTGTTGTTGACACGTATCAGCCTTTGTCAGTGGCGTCAAGCGAATATATACATTGAAAATCATTTAAAGATCATGTATATATATATATGTATACACACATTCACACACTTTATACATATATATATATGTATATTGTGTCAATGTATATATATATATATGCATACATACATATACGTTTACATATACATATATAACATATATATATATATATACACAATCGGGAATATATGTGGCTCATACGCCATTTGTCAACTCCCAGGAAGTGGAGCAGAAGCTGGCGCAGCTGTCGCCGCGAGGGTCTCCGCCAGGGTGCGCCGTTGTTTTTTGGGGGGTTCCCGCCATGACTGACAGGATGGGGCCCCAGTTCGTTGGCTAAGCTGGTTTATAACTGGTATAAATATAGTGTATTTATAACTGTTATAACTATAATGACTATAATAGCGTTCATTAGAACTATTGTTATTATAGTCATTTATAACTGTTATAACATGTTATAACAATAGTGTATGATACTGATACTTATAACTGATAACTATATTTAGATGATGTTATCAACCAACAAACATAACTGGGGGGCACCATCCTGTAGGAAAAATCCATATCCCAAGAGATGGGAAAAACGGTAGGTTTTAAGATTGAAAATTGGACGAAATTGGGATCCTATTGAGATTATCATGGGATGAGTGAATATAGAGTGAATTATGGGCAATCGCATTTCTCGCTGACTGCATGGCTGAATGAACTACTTCTTGGTTGAGCTAGAGATTTCCTAAGCCAAACCTCCCTTGAGTGGCCTCTTCATTGAGCTACCTCTTCATTGGACCAACTCTTCGCTGTGGTACGTCATCACTCAGCTATTGTACCTCCTCTCTGAGCTGCCTCTTACTTGGGATGTTTCTTCTCTGAGCTACCTCCCTCTCTCAGCTATTTCTTCTGAAGGCAAGGCTTCTTTTACTTCTTTTACTTCTTTTAGCGCGGCCGTTGCAATGCGTTTATGAACCTCCAGCTGAAGTCCCGCGTAGCGCGAGAGTCACGCCAAGCCCAAAACTATCATTCTCGCAGCTGTTGCACTGCATTTGGCAACCTCCAGCTGCAGTCCCTTTTGCCAATGCGTTTCGCCAGAGCCTATACAATCCCGCATTTAGCATGGACGCAGCAGCTTTAGACCTGAAATCGCCCGCTCTCAAATAGCTGAGCAAAAAATCGAGCTCTCACTAGAGTCTGGGGCACATTTTTCCGACCCCTTCTTCCAAAAGTTGCTCCAATGCCTACGTTTCTTTTTTTTGGCCAATCAAGCTCTTGCTACAGTCTCGTGCACTTTTTGTCGACAGCTTTGCTCCCTACACCGCGGAAATACACTAGCAAAAACAGAGTGATTCACGCACTTCCATTGTTTCACGCGCATATGCACAAGCTGTGGTACTGTTACCGTGATCAAACGTTTCCGCTTGCGAATTGCTATTGCTAATGTTTCCACTTTCCAACTGCTGTTGATACCTCCGTGGTTGACATGATGATGTGAAGACTGACGATGGACATTCGTCCGTAACTCGCAAGTTGACAAACTAAACTGCTTTTGATGATGGCCAAGGGATTATAAAAATTTCAGCGGTTGTAACCATCGAAATTTGTGGTTCGTAGATGACTATGTTTGGGTACAATTCATATTGTTGACCTCACTGGTTGTCCTTTTCTGATGGTTGGGATTAGCCCAAAATGATCTTATTTAAGTTTGGTGAATACCTATAATCCAGCCAGATTGATTAGGGGCCCTGATGGATTGACCATCAAGTGGCTGATTGGTTGGTTGATTAACTGGATGAATGCGTTGATTGGTTGCATGATTGGTTGGGTGTTGAATTCTTTGTTTGATAGGTTGACTGATTGATAAAGGGGTCGGTTGATTGATTTAACGCACGCTTTTGCCATGGCCCATCAGAGAAACCAAGTTGCTTCACAGTGTTTTGAACGCGATGTCTTTTTCAAATACATGATGTTCAAATGTGTGTGTATATATATATATATGAATGATTATGAATGTACATAGACATCTAGGTGTATGAGTTTTTGACAAACAAGTACAGCATCTGAATATATGTTCTATATTTCTGCACTTTACGCACCAGCATGACCCCACGTTTTTTTTTTGTCGCACCTGGCAGGGCCAAGGTGGCCCGGGTTCCAAGTCTGGGTAGACTTTGAGTGGCAGCAGTGGCTTCATTTTCTCTATTTGTGGAGAAACACCGGCCTTTTAAAATAAACTCTGAACTTAGTTTTTGGCAGGGTATCTATGACATAGAATGCATTTGGATGTGCATTCCAGCATGTATGTGGTTAATAGCCATGGCA